TATATATATATATATATATATAAAGGGTGTAGAGTTGTGTGGGTATGCTTCCTCATTTTTTTCTTCTTCTCACTCTCTGTAATTCTCTTATTGCAATTTTGTTAATGTCTCCTCGGTATTCTGCACAAGATTTCAAGTCAGTTCCCCTATACGACCGATCCTGGATGACCCAACTTGAAGTTGATTTGCTGCAAAAGAGTCATGTCTCTGACTCTTCTTCACTCTAGTGGCATCCTCGTCACTTTAGTAGGTATAATTCCCACATTTGCTCTTCCTGCTTACATTGGGTCATAAGACTCAGAGTTTCCTTCTTTTGACCTTAGAGCTACTGAGGTCTCATTAGGTGACGCAATTCACATATCACTGACAAGGGGGGTCTCCAGTTATTTTGGGTCAACTCACTTCACGAACAGGTAGACTAGGGGTCCTAATAGCTTGAGATGGAAAATCCATGGTATACTGACTCGACTATCTCTACCCGCTTAAGATTAATCTACCCTTCTTTTTCTACCCTCTTTGAGACTTGTTGCTTCGTTGATGTCATCTTGTAGGCCCAGATTGTGGATAAGCTGCCTCTCATTCGGGATACAGTGATTAAACCTCTACCCTAATGGACTGGTTTGGCTTTGGAAGCATAGTGTGGATCCTACGAGTTGATCGGGTTACTTCACAGGCCTCGTGTGCCGATGAGCCGCTATCCACATGGGATGTGAGAGATCAACTCTCTATCCTGTGGCTTAGTGAGAGCTTTAAAAGCCACGGGATGTTCCCTGTGAGGTAACTCTCATTTGCGACACCATGTACTAGTCGTCACCTAAATGTAAGCAGGACTCCTTTAATTGAGAGTATTCTTTGGCGCTCCCAAGCTGCAATTAACCAAAGGAATACATTTCTTTAGGAATTGGTCTTGACCCCAGAATAAAATACTCTTTTGGTTTTTTGATTAATTTGGTAGCTTATGTATGTATTCTTTCATGGATATCTGGTTCAAGGTGTCTCAATCTGATCTTGCTCGAACGTACACCCTTGGCCTATCAAAAGAGGTTTACCTCACATAAGTTCTTCATGTTCTTTTCTTCAAAATTTCAGCCTAGTTTTCGTCTTAACTCATTCTTTATCAATCCATCCTCTACTCTGAATCGTCCCTACAATTCAAGTAAGAGGGTCCATTGGAAAAGGGAATCCTAAAGCGATGATTAGACAGACTCACGACTCTGAGTTAAAAAAAAAAATCTAAACAATCATATTATTACCTTTTGTCTCTATTTTGAGAGAATCTATAATGAGATATTTCTGGTATGTTACAATTGATGAATTATCGTATAATGGCTCCCTGACATGGTTGGTTGAGCTTATTTGGCTTCAGATCGACATGGTCAGCTCAGTCGACTAAGCACGGTTGGTAAGATTCAATCAGTTTGTCTAACTCGATTGACTATTTTCAATTATTGACAAGGAGCTCTTGGACCTATGCGGATCAATTCGAAGGTGCTTGTGGAGTCGAATTTTCCACTGGGTTGGCTCTCTTATGAGATGGGTTGTTGTATTGGATTGACTTCCCCTTGGTTGGCAAGCGATATACCCTTCCAACTGGTTTTTATGTGAATGGACTCTATCTAAATTGCTCTATTTTGGATTGGTGAACTTAACTCATCTGATTGATTGGTTTGCTCTGGTGGGTTTGACGCTATTTACTGGGAATCTTCTTATCGTGTTCTCCTCTTATGGATCGTTAGAACTATGTGAGATTGATGTACATACATGAACAATTCCTTAAAGATTTTGTTGGCTTAAGAGACTATCACTTTGGAATTCGTAAGCTTCTTCTGAAACCTTAAAGGAGTGCCTTTGGAGTAGGCAAGTTCACATATGGACTTGTCAAGAGTCTTCTCAACTTGAATCCTTTGATTTAGGCAAGTTCCATATAAGATTAGACCCTATAATCTAGTTGAGTTTAGTCTAGGCAAATTACTTTGAGGCACCTCACAAGTGACTTTGGGAGCTTGATCCTTTGATTCAATGATGCCATCTAAATCGGGTTCTCTAGAGCAGAGCTAGGGTCTATGATCTTGGGTTTATTAGTTTGGGAGAGTGAATTATGATTCCCATATACATTGGTCTTTGATGAGTATTCCTATTCTTTTAGGCTTTAAATTGAACTCAATATCTATCTATCTATCTATCTATCTATATATACTTTTCCTTACATCAATTACAAATTTTTTTATCAATTAAAAAAAAAGATAATTTTATTAAATTTATGTTTTTTTATGATAAATAAATATTAATTTAAATTCATTGAATTGATCTCTTATTTTATCTCAAATTTATTTAATAAATCAAATGTGAGCTTCAACGAGATATTGCTATATATATATATATAGATAGATATATAACACCTAAAGTTAAAGTATTGCATACACCTCATATTACTTATGCACATAAAAGTGTAATTTAATTCATTCAAATTTTTTGAATGAATTAACTCTCAAACACGTACACATCCTAAATCCTAAATGTTTAACCCACTACTCTTTTTTATAAGAAGTTAAAAGAGTGGTCTTTTTGGATGTGATGTGAAAATTTTGAGTTCTACAAATATATAAAAATAAAACTCCGGGGGTTTAGATCTGTAAACTGTTTGTTGCGGCAAGCACTGTCGTTTGCATCAACTTTGTATACTCTTTTTTCTCTGTGATAAGATATATTATGGACAAGGGGGGTAACCACAGCACATTATTAAAATAATTAGATAAATATATTTATAATTGAAAATTAATGTATCTGTGAATGTCTAAATTAGAAAAATACTATTACATACCGATAACATAACAGTGGATGTAGAGGTCACGTCACCACAAATTAACATGATTGTGATGTGACATTATTCGTACATCTAGT